ACATTTCCATATGGTTTCCAATTTACAAAGCGCTCTGATTGGCACGCCAACGTTGTTCACCTTTTCCTTAAGGCGGCCAAACTTTTCACACTGCAGATTGCTCATTACTTTGTAATGACCTTAACATAATTTCTAATTGTGCCACGACTGAATTCTCACTGCATCAAAAGCTTCCAGGCCTGGTGTGAGTGGGGCAGCTCAATCCTCACTCCACGCACAAACCATGACCAAATTTTTCTCTCAGAAATCCTGTAACACCTCCACGAGGATGCAGACCTGAAGGAAAACGCCTCACGGGGCGCTGAGTGACCCCTGAGGGAGCTCGGGGTGTGCTGTGGGTGTGAAATAAGAGCAAAATTGTGTCGGTGCTTGTGCAGGAGGGGTGGAACACCACAGGCAATAAAGAGCCGAGGAAACCGCACGCAGAGGGAAATTTAAGAAACTGTGTCACTGTTAAATCACGAGAACTCCTTCCCAAAAAATCCTGAACCCACCCCAGCTCTGCTCCTAACTCCATTGACAGAGCGTTTCTGCGCGCCGCAGGAATTAAACCCACACACCAAAACTGAACGGGACGCTCACCTTTATCTTGGAGCTTCCCACAAAAGCCACGGCGGCCGTGATGCTTCTCCCGGCGTTCCGCCAGAACGCTCCCGGTTCTTCCTCCGTGCTGGAGCTCAAAGTTATCCTCTGGCCTGGGGGGAGTGAACGAGGCTGTTTTCATCCCGATTATTTGTCCCGTTTTCTCCGGGGCAGCCGGCGGGTGAGCTGGAGGAGGACTCGGGGGCACGGGATCCTCAGCACCCCTCGCCCCCTCGTTCAGCAGGGATTTGGGATTTTTGGGGAGGTCACCCCCAGAGCCAGGCCGGTTCCTGAGCGACTTGGCGCACCTGGATGGATCGGCAGGCTTTGGGTCACAAACTTCTCCACGATTTTCCCGATGTCTCTGTTTCTGAAGCCCAGAGTCAGTAAGTACTGCTGGCCAGGGCGAGATTCTTCAGCCTCCTCTGGCAGCAGGTGGATTCCGTGCGGATCTGCGCAGGGAAAGGAAAATCGTTTTTGCTGCCGCGTTTCTTTCCGGCTGTAAGACAAGTCACTTTTTTCTCCGGAGCAAAACACGAGAAGTCTTTTTAAGAAGGAGTGAAACAGCCTCCAGAAACTTCACCAAAACACCAACAGCAAAACCAGCGTGCCCCGGCTTCCAGTCTTGGCGCTCTGCAGCCTTTCGCCTCAACGGCTTAAAAGCCGAAGGTGCGGTGCCCGGTGCCGGGCAGCGTGCGGGTGTGCGGCTGCCAGGGCAGTGTGCGGGTGTGTGTGCGGAGGCCGGGCAGCGTGCGGGTGTGTGTGCAGAGGCCGGGCAGTGTGCGGGTGTGCGGCTGCCGGGCAGCGTGCGGGTGTGCGGAGGCGTGTGGGTGTGCGGCTGCTGGGCAGCGTGCGGGTGTGCAGAGGCCGGGCAGCGTGCGGGTGTGTGTGCGGAGGCCGGGCAGTGTGTGGGTGTGCAGAGGCCGGGCAGCGTGCGGGTGTGTGTGCGGCTGCCGGGCAGTGTGCGGGTGTGTGTGCGGCTGCCGGGCAGTGTGCGGGTGTGCAGAGGCTGGGCAGTGTGCGGGTGTGCGGCTGCCAGGGCAGCTCGGGCTGTGCAGAGGCCGGGCAGTGTGCGGGTGTGCGGAGGCCGGGCAGCGTGCGGGTGTGTGTGCGGAGGCCAGGCAGCGTGCGGGTGTGCGGCTGCCGGGCAGTGTGTGGGTGTGCAGAGGCCGGGCAGCGTGCGGGTGTGCAGAGACCGGGCAGCGTGCGGGTGTGCAGAGACCGGGGCAGCGTGCGGGTGTGTGTGCGGCTGCCGGGCAGTGTGCGGGTGTGCGGCTGCCGGGGCAGTGTGTGGTGCCCGGCTGCTGGGCAGCGTGCGGGTGTGTGTGCGGAGACCGGGCAGCTCGGGTGTGCAGCTGCCGGGCAGCTCGGGCTGTGCAGAGACCGGGCAGCGTGCGGGTGTGCGGCTGCAGGGGCAGCTCGGGCTGTGCAGAGACCGGGCAGCTCGGGTGTGCAGAGACCGGGCAGCTCGGGCTGTGCGGCTGCCGGGCAGCTCGGACTGTGCAGAGACCGGGCAGTGTGCGGGTGTGCGGCTGCGGGGCAGCTCGCGGGTGTGCAGAGACCGGGCAGCGTGCGGGTGTGCGGCTGCCAGGGCAGTGTGCGGGTGTGTGTGCGGCTGCCGGGCAGCTCGGGCTGTGCAGAGACCGGGCAGCGTGCGAGTGTGCGGCTGCCAGGGCAGTGTGCGGGTGTGCGGCTGCCAGGGCAGTGTGCGGGTGTGCGGCTGCCGGGCAGCGTGCGGGTGTGTGTGCGGCTGCCGGGCAGCGTGCGGCTGTGCAGAGACCGGGCAGTGTGCGGCTGTGCGGCTGCCGGGGCAGCTCGGGTGTGCGGCTGCCGGGCAGCTCGGGTGTGTGTGCGGAGGCCGGGCAGCTCGGGTGTGCAGAGACCGGGCAGCTCGGGTGTGCGGCTGCCGGGGCAGCTCGGGTGTGTGTGCAGAGACCGGGCAGCTCGGGCTGTGCAGAGACCGGGCAGCTCGGGTGTGCGGCTCTCCGGCCGCGGTACCTGTGAAAACGTGCCGCGCGTAGCCGGGGTGCCGCTCGGCAAAGGTCCCGCTGGCCTCCTGCAGCGTGCGCGCCTTGCTGCCTCGCTCGAAAGGCGTGTACAGAGCGCAGAAAGACGCTTCTCCGGCCAGGGCTTCTTGAATCAACGCCTGAAAATAAAAAAAAAAAGGGCAGAGAAATGATAAATTATGCGTTTTGTGTTGGGCGGCGCTCGTTAAAAAATATATATTAAAAAAATATATATATATATAAAAAAAACCAAACAAAGCAACTAGGTGGTTTGGGAGGCGACTCCATGAACATCCAACTTCAAGGAGACAGAGACAAGAGGAATTTTTCAGGCGGAGAGAAAAAGCGATTCCACATCAGGAAGAGTTAGGGAAATATTCCTTCGTCAGCCATGGCCGGAGTTGTTGTGTCAGGGGAGGTTTGGGTTGGATATCAAGGACAGGTTCTTCCCCCAGAGGGTGGCCAGGCGCTGTGATTTATTAAAAAATATGGATATTGATCACCGATATCCAGCTGTGGCAGAGAAAAACCCTCCAACAGTTTAAAGTTAGAAAGTGATTTATTAAAAAAATATGGATATTGATCACCGATATCCAGCTTGACAGACAAAAACTCTCTAACAGTTTAAAGTTAGAAAGTGATTTATTAAAACAATATGGATATTGATCACCAATATCCAGCTGTGACAAAAACTCTCTAACAGTTTAAAGTTAGAGTGGAAGAAAAGACTGATTGCTGAAATCTTGGCTTCAGGTGGAATTTGCCCTATAAAATCCGAATTTTCCCTATAAAAACTGAATTTCCCCTATAAAAAAATTAATTTTCCCTATAAAAACGGAATTTTCCCTATAAAAACCGATTTTTTCCTATAAAAACCGAATTTTCCCTACAAAAACCCCTTGTGCCAGGATGGAGGTGTGGGCAAAGGGGAAAACCTCTGCTGAGGCTGATTTATTTTTGCACACCCCAGGGTCGACCCCGGGCTCTGTTCTTTCCTTTTGGCTGGCTAGATAGAATTGGATTGCAAATAAATATTTTATTTTTTCATTTTAAATTTGACTGGACAAATTTTCATTTATAACAGTATCGTGGAAATCCTCCACGTGAATGCAGCATTCCCATAAATTTCATTACGGGATTCACCAACTCCTGACACTGAATTGTTCTTCCTCATCACCAAAAACAAAAATCTTATTAACCT